GTATTAATAGTTAAGATTATCTTGCGGGTCGCGAGAAAAGTGAAAACTAAAATTTTTATTATTTTTTCTAATAATATAGAAGATATCAAAAATGCTTTGGTATATCATATATGGRCCCCTCACATAAAGCCGCAGACTATGCAGCGGCATACCCTGCATACCCTGTGCGCACGCCTATGTTAAAGAGTCCTATAACTTTATTGGTTTGATATGATAATTTATTGTGATAACAATATTACGATAGTGTATCGACAAAGTGAACCACGGCACCACGCTTAATTCACATTTCATATATCGGAATCCGCGTCAATCTTATAAAATTAAATTAAATTATAACTTAAGAAAAATGTCAGTGTATTCAACATCATCAAATTCTGACAGTTCTGATGAAGAATATGTTTTGGAAGTTGTTTTAAATCTACCGAGGCCAAGAAGATATCGTGACCGTTTCAATCCACTCGAACAATATGATGGATATGATTTCCAAAACAGATTTAGGTAGGTACTTTTTATTCTTTTAAGTGGTTCATAATTTCAACTTATTTATTATGTTTAAAATATTTACAATTATAAAGTAACATTTCTTATTGAAAACTTCATTTTTAGGCTAAATAAAAAGACATTCATGATGTTACTTAATACAATAGGCAATGATTTAAAACGGTCTACCAATAGAAGTTTTGCAATTACCCCAGAAATACAACTATTAATTGCTCTACGATATTATGCAACTGGAGCATTTCAAGTAAGCTGTTCTTTAACATTATTTACAAAGGAAGTAGATAAATTTTTTTTTAAATTTGTGTTTTAGTTTGTTCTAGGTGACCATATTAATGTAAACAAGTCCACAGTATGTAGAGTAATAAAACGCGTATCAAAACGTATACCAAGTCTTCGTCCTCTATTTATTAAAATGCCTGAAAATCAGATAGAAAAGCTAGTAGTGCAAATAGGGTTCTATGAAATGTATAATTTTCCCAGGGTAATTGGAGCAATCGATTGCACACACATAAGGATACAGTCTCCAAAGAGCGACATAGGAGAACAATTTAGAAACAGAAAAGGTTATTTTTCTTTTAATGTACAAGCAGTATGTAACAGTAAAATGGATATAACAAATATAGTGGCAAGGTATTAAATTAATTAAATCAGAAATATTATTAACAGATTTTTATGTACAACCATTTTGTTTTTGGTTATTTTATAAACTAATAATTTAATGTATATTTAGATGGCCGGGTTCAGTTCACGATAGTACAATTTTTGAAAATAGTTTACTACGTGCACGATTTGAAAATAATGAGTTTGAAGGCTGTTTTCTGCTCGGTGATGGAGGTTATCCATGTAGGAATTATTTAATGACACCATTACTGAATCCTACTACAAATGCTGAATTAAAATATCAGGTAGTTATTGAGTATTACTAATTTAACAGTTTTATTTTTGTATTTATTTAATTTAGTTATCAACTATTAATTAATTACAATAATTTGAAATGTACTCTTAGAAATCCCAAATTGGAACCAGAAATATTTTTGAGCGTGTATTTGGTGTCTTAAAACGATGATTTCCAGTTTTGTCCATTGGTATACGCACTCAACCCAAAACAGCATTAACCACTGTTGTCGCTACAGCTGTATTGTATAATATCCTAATTAAACAACATGATGTAATACCTCAAAATGATCAACAAGATAAAAACCATCTTTTGGAAGAAATACCAGCTGCACCAGTAAACCAAGTTGGCAATGTTGTTCGAAATAACTAAATTCAAACACATTTTGGCTAGTAAATTCAAAATTTTCAAACATAAATTAAAAGATTTGAAATATTTGAAATAAATGAATAAACCATTTTTGTGTAACAGTATAATAAAATATTTTAATTGTTATTTATTAATACTATTATTATTATATAACTTTATTACTTATAATAAAAAAATAGGTTTAAATTTACAATGTACATAATACATATTAAAACATTAATAAAGTTTTAAAAAAATGTTTATAAAATTTAAAACAATTTACAGTGTCTGCTTTTTTTTGGTTAAGTTCATATTTTAATATTTCTTCTTTGAGTTTGTCTTGCTTATATTGAGAAATATAATGTTCTTTGTCTATCTTGAGTTTTTCAATAAACATTTTTCTTTCTATTTCGGCAATTTCTAATTCAATTTTGGCTTTTTTTATCTTCAAATCATTGTAATGTTCATGGCATTTTTCTTTAGTGGTATTTAATCCCAGTCTTTGGTTAGATATATTTTCAAGGCTTTCATATACTTTATTTGCAGTGGTATGTGTTACTGGAACTTTTTTGTTTGGTAATATTTCATGCAATTTAGATTGCACAGCGTTATTTTTTTATTTTTTGTTTGAAAATCGTTCTTTTTATTAGGTTGGTCGGTATTGTTATGAATACTTATGTCCATTGCAGATTCTTTAGCACTAGAGTCATTGCTATTTAATAACCATTCTATGTTATCTTTCATTAGTACATTTCTACATGGTGTGAGGTAGAAACGGCTTGTGCATCAGCCATCTCATCAAGCCCACCGTATAATCCAGGAAGGAAAATTAATAATTAAAACAAACTAGATAAAATTTTTATTTTTAAGCAATAAAATAACTTACATATTGGACTACCACTTACACAGCTTTGCTTTTTGGCTATGCCAGGTGATTCCTCATAACTTGTTTGTAGTACACCTGGAAAATCTCCATCACAATCATAGGGACATTCCAAAGATTCTAATCGATTCCCCATCATACTCATCATACCCATAACCTTACTACTTATTGAAAAGGTTGATGCTCGGATTTTCCACCTCCCGTCTTATAGATCTGACTCTAAAGTTAGAAAAATGTAATGATTAATTTAACAATTAGTTGACTAGATTTTTATGGGAGAAAAATCCCCAAAGTGACTAGTATATACAGATACCTTTTCTTTATTTATATCCAGACTTGCTGATTTCTGTAACCTCTTATTACACTTCTTCAGTTCCTCAATAGTTTTTATACCACTTGTTTGTAATTGATTGTACGATTCAGCAATTGTTTTCCATACTTCATTTTGATAAGCAATACTTGAATCCTGTAACTAAAAATTTAGGTTTTTACAGCATTCTATATAGTTTTRAAGTTATATTTTAGAAACATACTATGGAAGGTTTATTGGTTAAAAGAAGGTCAAACTAAAACTTCATTTTCCCTCTCTGTTGTAGTACTATTTGGTTGCTATATTTAAGTATTTACCTAAAATAAAAATACAATATATATTTAATATAAATTATCCTAAAGACAGATTAGAAA